ATTTCGTTATCAGATGACGGTCGAAATTTGCAGTGGGCTCTCGTACTATAAGGTTTTTCAGAATACTATAACAGACTACCTTACCTATGACTGCTCTGGCATCATAACGGATCATCAATATGGTTTTTGTGCTGGGAAATCGACTGAATTAAATCTAGTTATGTTATGTTGGGAATAGGGTGTTAATACACTGCGACCTAAGAGATCTATTGTGTCCCCTTCTGTCGCTAATGCACCAAGGAAATGTCTCAATGCCTATAACGACCCTTCCAATCCTATCTTCTCAAGGAAGTGTAGGATTTAGAGTGGCTTCAAGCTAGGTAAATCTCCCTCTTCTATTTGATATCCTAGGTATAGTGCCCTTGGATTCTGAAGTGCTACACATTCAGTTAGAATGTGAATGGAGGTTTCCTCTTCCTCATTCCAGAATCTGCACTAACTAGCCTCTCCTACTCTCAGTTTACTAAGGTGTCCTTTTAGTCGGCAATGCCCAGTAAGGATCCTTGTTACAATACGTACCCTGTTCTTGCTCAGGCAGATGCAGGCTTCCAATCTTTCCTGGTTAAATTCACCCAGAAGTATCTTAGCCTGTCTCAGCCCCAAGAGATTGTTCCAATTATCGGTTCTTCTACTGCCCAAGTCTTTTTTAATCTCTCCTAATATTATGTTACTGCTGATACCGCAGAACGACTCAGGTCCTACAAAGGATGTTTGAGCCTCTTTCCTAGCAAGACTATCTGCAACCTCGTTACCCTGTACCCCGTTGTGTCCCGGGACTCAAATGAGAGTAACTCTATTTTTCTCGCCTAGCTCATTCAATTGTTCTAGGCACCTCCAGACCATTTTTGAGCTGATTGCATAAGAGTTCAGCGCTTTGATGGCTGCTTGGCTATCGGACATGATGATAATCTCTTGTCTATGATAGTTTCTCTTGATGTTAAACTGGATACACTTCTCGATGGCGTTAATTTCCGCCTGGAAGATGCTTGGGTATTTTCCTAAGCTTTCGGAATGCTTGGTTCTCGATCCATACACTCCTATTCCAGTTCCTTCTATGGTTTTGGAACCGTTCGTATACCACTGAATAGCATGTCTTTCGGTTGCAAGCGCGATGGATTATTGGTTCCATTCTTTCTTGCAGCCCAGCTCTGTGGTTTTGAAGTTTTTCACAAAACTGTACTTCATTAGCACTTCATCCTGGTGTATGTTCCAGGTATCTTTAGACCTGAAGCAAGTAGACTTTCGTCTGATTACTCCGTTCCTGATCTTTCTATATCGTGTCCTTTTTGCCACATTCTCTATCATCAAATGTAGAGGGGTGAGGTTTAAGATCACCTCCATTGCGGCCGTAGGACAGGTTCTCATTGCACCGGTGATGCAAACACAGGCTAGTCTTTGTACTTTTGAGATATTAGCTCTCGTAGTCAGTGTTGCCAGATGAAATTTTCAAAAGGCGGTATAACTTGGCTCGAAAAAGCGGTAGAAAAACGGTAGATGGAAGAACAGTGCAACGAATGGCGACATCTAGCAACAAATTGAAGCGAATTTGGCAAATATTCCTTTAAATATTTTTTTTTGTATAGTGAATTGTTTAATTAAGTATTATAATACATTTTTATTAATTATATAGGTACTTAAAATTGAATGGTTTATTGCTCTTATCGAAATACAAAATAAACTTCTAAATACAAAGTAAGCATTACAAATATCGATACATTGTTTGTAAATATCTTTCGTCATTAGCCTTCTTTAATTCATTGTTTTCCTTAAAATTAAAACAAGTAGTGGTAATAAGTTGCTTGCTGTGCAGTAATCCTACTATTATAGTACTCAGACGGTTTCTTTGTTTAGTCTTTAACAAATTTACAGTTGAAAAAAACCCTCTCAACATTAGCACTTGGATGTGGTTAGACTAATATATTAAAAATAAATGTAGTTAAACTATAAAACATGCGGTACTGGCGGTAGCATTTCGGGGCGCTAGCGAGAAAGCGGTATTTTAGGGAGCTAAAACTGGAGAACGGTAGATGACTCTCCAAAGCGGTAGAAATACCGCTTTAGCGGGAGATCTAGCAACACTGCTCGTAGTAGCTAAACTAGTTCTGTTACTCCAGGCTATAGCCTCGTAAGTGATGATTGGTCTCACTATTGCACTATACATCCATCGCAGTAAGTTTGGGTTACATCCCCATCATTTACCCGCAATGTTTCTGCATACCATTAGGCCTTATTTACTTCTTCATTCTCATGTGTGTTTCAGAGAAGTTTGTTGTGCAGGGTTAGGCCTAGATATTTGACTTCATTTTTCCATTCTATATCTATCCCGTCTAATTTAACGGTTTTGAGATTGTTTTCTTTTCCTTGAAAAGGCTACTAGTGTTGTTTTTGTAGGGTTTATACTAGGTCCCACTTCACGACACCATCTTTTGGTATGTTCTAGTCCTCGTTGGAGACTATATCACACAAGATATTTCTAAACTTGCCTCTAGCAAATATGACTATGTCGCCGGCATAACCTTGACAGGATATGCCGAGGTCAGTCAATCTGTATAGAAGTTCGTCTACGGTTAGACTCCACATTAGTGGTGATAGAACTCCTCCTTGTGGACATCCTCTGGTTGTGCAGATGAAGATGGTGTCCTGCCCTATCTGTCTCTGCAGATCTCGTAGATAACAACTGCGCTATCCATCTGGATGTGATGTTATCTGCTCCTCTGTATCCAAGTGCTCTTTTTAACAGATTCGTGTGGCGCGTTGTCAGAAGCTGTTTGTCTAAGAAAACACACACGACCGTTTCTTTGTCAACTTATTAATAAATTGCATTCATTGTTTTCAGTATGGCAAAGCACTATTGTTTGCAGATGATTTAAAAGTTTTCCTAGTTATTAAAACTATTTATGATTCCCTCTGGTTGATAATCTATCAAACTGGTGATCCTTAAATGGGATGGACTTGAATGCCATAAAGGCCATATCATGCGCTTTTATCGAGTCCATGTACCAACTTACTATAACTACTTATAACTTAAATGGTCACATCTTGGAGTCTGTTAATCAAATTAAAGACCTTGGAGTTGTTCTAGATCCCACTTTAAGCTTCAACCAACACATACCTAAGGCTATCCATAAATCCATGAAAATGTTAGGTTTTATCAAAAAGCTAACACATGATTTTACTGACACAACTCCAATTAAAATCCTTTATTGTTCACTAGTCCGACCTCACCTAGATTATTGCTCTTCTGTCTGATCTCCATATTACATAACGCACAGCAGAAACATAGAAAATGTGCAACATACATTTCTTAGATACATAGTCTATAAATTGGGTGTCCTTTGCGAGTATGGTTTGATAGAGAACTATCTAAATATTCCCTCTTTGGAAACTAGGAGGAAACAGAGAGACCTAACATTACTTTTCAAACTTATCAATGGTAGATGCAGCTGTACTGAACTTCTAACAAAAATAAATCTTCATGTTCCAACCCGCTCAACTCGACAGCAACAAACATTTTTATCGTTTAACCATACTTTTAGCAGCTGTATTCCAAGAATGTTAAGATTAACCAACACTCATAATGATCTTGAGATATTTAACACCCTCTTTCATAAATTTATAAAGCCATTACTTAGTACTGAGCTATAATCTTTGATCTTTAATTTTTAATGCTTAATGTAAACATTTTATTCAACCTTATTGTCTCTTTAATCTTTTAAATTATTTACCTATTTTAGTCTATAAGTAACGCACGTTTGTATTTCAGCACCATATATATTTCACTACACTTTAATTATAGGTAGGTGGATCAAATATAAACAAGCCTTCGTTTTTCAACTATTTATTTTTAAACATGACATAAAACAGATTTTTTTTCTACATTTCTACATATTTCCCTTCTCTGTTAATACACTTTTCCCAACGGGCAGTTTCTTAATCCCGTTTTCATAAAAATAAGCAGGGCGGGTAGCTAACCAGTTGCGCACAAATGCCTCCACCTCTTAATTGGTCTGAAATCGCTCGTCTCCCAGTGAATTTTTGAGTGGCCCAAACATGAAAATCACAAGGTGACAAATCTGGACTGTATGGAAGGTGTTCCGGCACAGTCCAGTGCACTTCATTGATTTTGGCCTGTGTTAAAGCTGCCGTATGAGGTTTAGGGTTGTCAAGCAGGAGCAACACGTCTCGGATGGGGTGTGCTCTCCTCTTTTGGCGATAAGCAAGCTTTACCTAGTCGAGTAAGTTACAGTGGTAATCCGCGTTTATTGTTCTTCGCTCATGCAAAAATCTACCAACAAAACTCCTCTGCAGTCCCAGAAAACGGTCGCTAAAACTTTGCCTGCAGACAGAAGAGTTTGCGCCTTCACTGGGTTTGATTCGTCTTTGTGCCACCACTCCATGCTTGCTCGTTTTGCACCAAGATTTTACACGTTCCCAAGAAAGCGTTTCATTCCCGAACTGTGCTCGCAATCTGCGTAGAATTTCAGCAGGTTTCACGTTTTAGCACGTAAGAAATTTAATTATTCTTTGCGCAACACTGCTGTGTACCCTCTTCTCGCTCATTGCGATTGCTACTGGGCCAAATGAGAATCGCGCCACTACCAGCCGCTTACATGCTGCTGAATATTCTTACTCCAATACTATAACAGCCGCGTTCACCTTGAATGATTTTTTCGTTTAAATTTTAAAAGGCTTGTTTATATTTGATCCACCCACGTAATTTAAAATTGCAATTTATTTCTCAAATGCACTTACCTGTAAATAAATAAAAAATAAATATTAGTGATACACACGATACAGACCCATATGGTACCACAGAGCAGAATCCTGAAATTTGGCTTAGGAGCCAGCTTGTTTAACAGGCATTTTAATATATCGCTGTTCCAAAATTATAAAAAACAAATTATAACAAATACGTTTATATTACATAAAAAAATGTAATTATAACAATACAGACTGAGAAAGTGTTAACTGCAAATCAAAATGTACAATACATTTAATAAGTAACAAGTGATTTTTTTTAGTATATTAATAATTAATACCTAAAAAAAATAGATGCATATTTTTAAATCTTCATCCTATACTCAATCCTCCCATATTCCATGATTTTGCTTGATGTTATTTGTATTTTCTCTCCTACTTCTGGTAACTGCGTTTGCTTCTCCTTTAGCGACGCACCTCTTACTTTGTTGTTTCCTACTTTGAACAGCCATTTGTTTTTTTAGTCTCTTTTTGATTTCATCTGGGGGTATTGTTGATGTGGTTGATAATATACTTCTAGATTCAAAGTGGTCTAATGAATTTTCAGAGTGCTCCGACAAAGATTTCAATTCATCTGTGGAAAATATTTTACTTTAAGCAAAAAGTTTCGAAATGACTGAATATTAACAAATGCAATATTGCTAGTTATTGTAGAAAAAAATTCTTGAATTTTACATAAAATTGACATTTAGTCAACACCCAAAAAAAGCTACAGAGGCAATAAAATTTAAAGAACTTTAATGATTATTGATGCATTAAAACATTTGTAATTTTCATTTGTACGTTCAAGACTAGAATATTGTTATATACTATGGAAGCCGCTTTAGAACCATAAAATTATGCTGGAGAATGTATGAAGGTTTCAAAAGTATCTAGCTCATAAAAATGATGGGATAAATCCAGAAAGAAGGATTAGGGAGAATAATCTTTGTGACAGATTCGGAATTGTTAAATTTGACCTATAGTGTAGGCGCCAAAGGAAGTTGAGTATGCAAAATGTGAGGACCGCCAACTAGGCACAAATTCTTTTATCTGAGTCACTGAACAAAACAAAAAACCATGTTGCCAGGCAGCTATGCTGGTCCCTTTCTTTTTTCCCCCGCTCTGTGCGTCGATGTGTCACAGCGCTCGTAATTAAGCATTCCAAACAAAATGGTTGCTTGTAGGTAATGACAGGCCCATGATAGGTTATGATATGACAACTCTGTAGGCCTGGTGATTTGATAGGGTCAATGACATAGACAGTTATATAAATTGATCAGCCATGTTTTTCAAAATAAACATAAGCTTATGCCTTGAAGTAAAAGTGTAGGTAGTTATTATTTTTAAAATGGAATTTAGTTTTAAAACACATTTTTGCTAAATTCATTCTAATTATGGCCGCTCGCGAAACGACCCGCTTTAAGCAATCTATATAAATGTACACAGTGAGTTTTTTTAGGCATGGAATACCTCAATTATTTCGGAAACGGCTTGCACGATTTTTATCTACTTTGGTATGTAAAGGTTTTGTAATACGGCCGATATGGTTTTATTTATATTATTGTCAGATCTTTTGGTTTTCCTAATATAATTAACTTTGTTATTTCAAATGGGTCACCTCGTAAATTTTTTGTTTTTTGAAGTCCTTAAGAAATACTGATTATTTTTCATGTAATGTTCCCTATACCAAAAAATATTCTTGAAATAACAAATTTTATTATATTTCCATTGAACTGAAAGACCTGATAACAATGTAAATACAACCATAATATCAGCCATATTACAAAACCTTTACATACCAAAGTACATAAAAATCGTGCAAGCTGTTTCCGAGATAGTTGATGCGTTCCGTACTTAAAACTCACTGTGTATATGTATCACCACAGGGTTGCCATATATAAAAAGTAATACGATTCTATTAAAAATAGTAAATTTGACAATAATGTGACTACTTCTAGAAAAGAATGTAAAAGTATTATTACTAAAAAGTTGCAAGATGCAATAGATATGTCTCTTTCATAAAACATTTATGTTGGCTACAAGATGGATTCGACCTTTTTGACACAGAAGGATTTTACAGGAAATCTCCAAAATCGCTCTTGAAATTGAAAATAATTATATGTGTACAAATACGTGACAAGATGTTTTAAATTCACATACTTCAAAAATGTATATTATTGATTGTATGGCACTTGTTCATCGAATCCAATTAAAAAATTTCAACACTGTAACCTACCGCACCCAGGTACCATAATCATTTATTAATTCCATTTATTTAAAAAAAGATGCATTCTTATTAAATACAAAATCCTTCATTTAACAAAAATCTCCCAGATAATTGAATCTTATTTACGACACCTAATAAATAATATCTATAACCCACCCCGTAAGAGATCCAATTTCTTAAAAGTGTCTGGGAACGCAATCTAAAACCACCATACAACATAAGTTGCCACGAAGTAATAATCATTAAAACTCTTAACGCACTTATCTTAAGTCAGTTTTGAATAGGAACGTTGTTTTCGATATACAAACTTTCCAAGGCAAGTAATAAATCAGCCACCCCCTATCCACCTAAATTCGTTCACTGACGCCACCAAAAAAACTAATTAAATCGTGTATAAAGATCCGATTAAAAGGGACTCGAAAGGCATTAAGAAATCAGACTCAGTCCAGTTGATTTCGAGCTCCAGTCGCATATTCTTTGAATCTAATATAATTCAAGTTCAGTACCTTTCCTAAACCCACGCAGTTCATATCCTACCTTTATCCGACGCCCTTTAGCCCGACCAACTACCTTCCAAACGTTCCCACGTCTCGACGTCACTACGTCATCTCTTTTATCCGACGTCCCCATCCGACGCCCAATATCTCATCTGACGCCCTACGTCCTTACTTATCTACCTTCCTGCGTTTGGCGTTCTGCATCACGACGCTCCTTCTCCGCCACGCCATTCTAAATTTCGACGCCAACGTCTCTACGTCCCTGCTAATTATCCCGAATACAAAAATATAAAATGTCTGAAATAGAAACAGATGATAATATAAACCCAACGGTCTGTTTATCCGATGGTGAGTTAATAACAACCAAATTAAATTTGTAAAAATGGGAATTTATTGTTGAATAATAATGAGTATTATTGTGTAACTCATTATTATTCAATAATGGTAAATCTTTACATTTGAGGAATTTGTTGCTCGCCGACATCGCATTTAGCTCGTCCAGATGTGTATGCTATGAGCCATATTGCCTTCAAATTAATATATCACCGTAAAAGATAATAAGAGTCTGGTTACCGAACTGTCAATGAACCCTCGCAAATAACAGCTCAGCTGATTGTGGTAAATGACACATCGGACGACTAGACTCACATTTATCCGAATATGCTTGATGTTACTACAGGGTTGGACTATCTTAGATAATTATCTTTCAATCTTCGCACCGTAGGTAGATCTGAACATAAGGGGTAGTTCGCTAGTATTGATCTGGCTCTATTCTAGTAAGACTACATCTACATAAAACCCCCCTAGGTGAGGCTAAAACATAAGGGATTTCCGTCTTTTATTGCAACGACGGTATCTCAGTAAGCGCACCTATATAAAAAAAGAAAACAAGGAAACAAAGAATTATTAAAGATAGTGCAATTCTGAGGACGTCTGCTGTCTATTCTCAAGAATTGTTTTATTACAAATATTTGATGGCAAGTGGCCTGTTGTTTGGGCGAGACACATGTGAGGTCTACCTTATATTAAAGTAATCTGTACATACTAATTTTATTTGAGATCAAAAAATTAATTAAGTTAAATATATTTTGAGCATTATTTCATTCACAAATTTGTACCAAACTTTGCATCGAATCCTGGTTTATTTTAATTAACATTATCACAACGTGGGTATATAAATTATCAATTAATTAACTAGACGATCACTACACTACTAGAGGAAAAGGCCATATACAGTAAGTATGAATTTCTTTGAATTTCACAAGGGGAGGGAGGTAGTTAAATTAAAATAAGACCTGGAGGTGGAAGGTCACAACACCTTTGGCCATTTTGTTGAGGCATTCTTCAAAGATCAAAGGTCAAATGATCAAAACTTTTATAATTTCAAATAATCACACCAAAATTCCAACTAATTGTAAAAAATTATTTTCAAGCACTGAAAATAAGTTACAGCTTGTTCTATTTATTTGTATTGCTGTTCCTAGATATGCAGACGTAAGAGAAGATTGCCAGTTATATATTTATGGAGGATTTGATGATCCAACAAAATGTTTCAAATTACAAAGCTCTTCATTTTGGGAAGTACCTGACTTAAATTCGAACCATTTAGAAGCCGATTCAAGGATGTTTTGTCACATATTTCATACAGTAAAAGTCTAATCTGCCCATATCATAATCCTTGTTATGTTATGTTGAGAATGGGGTATTAATACACTGCGACCTAAAAGATCTATTGTGCCCCCTTCTGTCGCCAATGCACTAAGGAAATGTCTCAATGCCTATAACGACCCTTCCAATCCTATTTTCTCAAGAAAGTGTAGGATTTAAAGTGGCTTCAAGTTAAGTAAATCTCCCTCTTCTATTTAATATCCTCCTAGATATAGTGCCCTTGGATTCTGGAGTGCTACACATTCAGTTAGGATGTGAATGGAGCTTTCGTCCTCCTCCTCACAGAATCTGCACTCACTATCCTCTACTACTCTCAGTTTACTTAGGTGTCCTTTTAGTCGGCAATGCCCGGTAAGGATCCCTGTTACAATACATAGCCTGTTCTTGCTTAGGCAGATGCAGGCTTCTGATCTTTTCTGGTTATATTCGTCGTATATTGCCAGCATTACACTCTCTAGGTGGTTGTGATTCGACTAACAGATTGGGCTCAATAAAATGGTTTTAAAGCTGCAGTGTTAGATTTTTGTACAAAAAGCTCTAAGGCATTTAGAAAATCCATATTTAAGTGTCGAACAGTTAACAAAAATAGAAACCATTTGCACCTATATTTTCTCAAAAAAAAAAAAAAATTAAAGGCTGATGAATAAATTAATTTTTCAAAATATCAGCTTCGGCTTAAATTTATTAAAAGTAATTTGCACATCAGATGCTCTACACTTACATTTGTTAACAGTTTCAGCAATGGATAACACTACTACAGCCCACTGATTATACCTTATTAGGCTATGAAAAGAAGATGGTAAATTATACACATGGCAACTGATGAAGCGGCCATTGCCAGAATTGTTGATTCAGCCTGTAAATATACATCAAATTGTCAAACAAGGGCTTGTTCTTGCAAAAAAATACAACTAAATTGTATTTCCTTGTGCAGATGTATTAATAATGACTCAAAATAAAAAAGATTGATTATTTGTATTTGTTTCTGGATGACTTTTTCGTTTAAATAATCTTTTATCAATAATTTTTATTTTTACTTTTAACTTTTTTGGTTCTTTTTTTCAATAGTCTAGTTATAAAAACCTTTAGTCATAAGAAACAGTATATTGTCACTAAAACATTCATTAAAATGGCTTCAAAGCATTTGTTCAGTACATTTACTTGATATCTAAGGGGATGGGGGTAAAAAAATTAATGGACCAACAACCTTCCTGGCAACATCCAGAATCATAATCTGCAAGCTTTTCTGAGTTCAGAAGTATGTATCGAGTGCGGTCCTCATATTTTGCACACTCAACTCTATCCAGATCCCGGTCAGACAGTAGTAAAATTCCATTTATTTTTTACACAAACTGGTCAGATTGACTGTTCCAAATTGATGTCACAATTATCTGTCAATGTACCTCCATTAAACTCAAGAGTTGCAAATGTATTTAGGATCCTGCAAGTAGAACTAACCTAGGTTTAAACTTGCCATGAATTATTGCTGTCAAAATTTCCAAAAAAATAAGTAGGGCAACTGTAACTGATCTGCACTATTCAAGTATGTTTATAGATAATTATAATATATAATTACAGCTTCTAACAATATAGTTTAATTTTTGTAATTATATTTTTTTGCAGATAAAGCATATTATTGTTTATATATTTTTATAATAATTATTAATTTGTCCTGTAAATTTATTCTTTTGACAATAAAGCTTTATTATTATTATCTTCATTATAAGGTACGTGTATGTTACTGTTTCAGAAATATCTACGGAATTTGAATTTGTTTAAGTGGTGGATTTGAAAAAAGCTAAATAATTAATTGAGCATATATATCTTACCTTCATCTTCATTAGTTTTATCTTCATCACACATTGTATTCTTTAATTTCATCTGCTGGAAAATATAATTTAATGTGGAATTACTACTAGTATCATGTTTATCAGGAATATCACTTGGCACTTCTACATCTTTTGTATCAATACATTCTTCATTATTTACTTCTGTAGTTTCTTCTTGTTCGTCATCATCTGCATCATCTTCATTGCTTTCATAACCAAGCTCTATATTAATATATTTAGCCATTTCTTTTGTAAATCCTGAACAAACGACTTCCGCATCTATATTATCATCTCTATTAATATCGGAAAATGTGGGATACAACTCACTTTCATAATCAAATCTCTTTTTGAAAAACTCCCTAACGCAGTTGACATCTCTGTTAAAGTAATATTCTGCATTTTGATGTTGTGTGGATATCATCTGAGGAAAATCTATAATAATAGGTTTTTCTTCAGAGTTTAAAATTATATTAAATTCGTTAAAATCGCCGTGAATTACTCCGGAATCAGCAAAACGAATTATTAGATTCATAAGATCGTCATACAGAGCATCAACATCTGAAACTTCTGCTACATGATTTAATAAACTACCTTGAATGAGTTCCATAACAACACAATGTCTGTTAAAATCTACAGGTTTGGGAACAGGAAACTTCCTCTCATACAACGCTTTCATGTATGCAAATTCTTTCGTAGCAGATATTCTGGATAGATATAACCATGATGCAGATTTTCTGTGCTTGTGATAATCTCTCTTTTCAGTCACCTTCCTGAAACATATTCTTCCTAGTCTATGTAACTTCAAACAAAGCGCTTCCTCTTCAGCATTAGCTACTGTGTAAATATTACTTTCTTTACCAACTCCTATTTGATTCCCAAATGAAGATATAACATTTCTTTTTGTTAATGAATGAAGAGCCAAATAATCATAACCTGTATTAGTAAGACGGTACCCATCGTATCTTTTGCCTCTCTCGTAGCTCAGAAGCCTATGTTTACATAATTCACGAAGGAGTTTATTAACTCCACCATGCTGAAGGTTCGCAATTGATGCAGCCATTGCAGCTGGAACCAATTCGTGGTTTTTCATGCCCATTTCGATGGCTGTTAGCACTCGGAAATCTTCTGGGGTGAGATAACGCATGATAGCAACGTTTAACTTTCCCATGGTTCTGTAAAGTTTTATAAAAAATAAACGTAAATATGAACCTTCTATCTGTTTTTAGGTTAGAACTTGAAATGACTGATGACAGGTTGACATTTGTCGATGTCATTCTTCTTTTCTTCTTTATTTTCCTTCACATTGCATCTATTTTGTAATCTGGAAGTGGATAATGTAGCTTTGGGCGTGAACATAGTAATCTAAGCCCGTATTTATAAACAAAACTCAGCTGAGTCGGACTTGGGTAAGTCGTCCTTGAACTAAAATCGAAGTTCGGTTACAACGTCTCTAAAGTTCTACGTGGTTCCAGTATTATACTGGAATTTAGAGATGGATATTAGCAAATCTGTAACTGTTAAATACATTTACAGATTCGTTACTACCCATCTCTAAATTCACGCGATATAACCGAACTTCGATTTTCGTTCAAGGACGACTTACCCAAGTCCGACTCAGCTGAGTTTTGTTTATAAATACGGGCCCTAATAATAGATATTAAGGGCCGATTCCACCATAGTGTTAAACACGATTATATTAAACGAAGCTTAAATTACCAAACGAAGTTTAAAATGACTTTTTTACATTAACAATGTCCTCTTAATTTCGTTCAATAATTTAAACTTTGTTTAACCCAACGTTGAAATCAGCCCTAAATGAATTTTATTCATAGTAATTTAAACTTCAGTGGAATTGGCCCTTATATGATTATTTTTAAATACATGTGAAATAAGGGGATTTTTTTGTTTTAAATATTGAACGTTTTTTGTCCTTCCATTGACTAAATATAGAAGTAGAATTTGTTTATATAAACTTACAACCTAGTAATAATTTTGTTTTGGTCCTTATTTTCCATTCTAAATTAGCACAAAATAATTAGAATACAATACACTACAAAAATAACCCACTTTCTGAAAATCCCCAATTATACAGGGTGTATTTGGTGAATTAACTTGGCGCTTCATAAGGTCTAATTTGGGGCAAGTTAAAAATAATTGAAATATTTTAAGGTGTGATTTTGGGGTAACCCACCCTTATAACTATACAGAACTTTTTGTCATCATGGTTACCCCAGAACCACCCCTTAAAATATTTAGATTATTTCTTACTCACCCCCAAATTAAGACTCATGAAACGCCTAAATAATTTACTAAACATACATTTTTTAAGTTAAACGGTTGCAGAGATATTATTATTTTTTTTTTTTTTTTTTCGAAATGTACGGGCCCCACTTTAGGCCTCCGTAACTCCTTAGTGGTATAACTTGGTATAGAGGTAAATTGGGGCAAATCATCATATTTTGGGATGCCCAACACGTGCCTGCTTTGTATCAATACTTATGCGGAACACCCTGTATGTAGGGTGTTCGATTTACGAAAGGGTTCGAATACCAAGCATTTTTATATAATCAGGTCCATTCTAAAATGGTTCTCAGCTTATATTTTACGTAAACGAGGGTCCTTTGGCCGAATTTTTTCTAAAGAAAAGGTCCTCACGGTTATATTTCCATTTAAATCCGGTTCCTCCTTTTTATTTATTATGACTTTGAATATTAAAAAGCGTGGAATTTTGGTCAAAAGCGGAACATTTTCTTACTTTGGCGTTGCGCGTACAAGCAAGTCAAAAAGCGTGACCAATACGTCTAAAGCGTGACGTCTAGCAACCCTATATGTATATCATAACTATTGTTTGAGAATCCACACCGGATGCATCTGAGATGTAGTAGGTGGGTTTTAATCATCCGCTTCTGCTTCCGGACTTGTCGGTTTAGTCGTTTTAACCTGTCAGATTAAAACAAGAAAACTGACAATTCCGAAGCAGAAGCGGATGATTAAAACGCACCTAGTAAATCTTTAATCACGTGATTCAGTATAATGTATGGGACAGATATGTGTCCGATGTGGATAAAAAAATGCTGGAGAAGTAAAAAATTGCATCCGATGTCGTCCTTAAACTAAAATCGAAGTTCGGTTACAACGTCTCTATAGTTCGAGGTGGTTCCGGTGTTACACTGGAATTTAGAGATGGCTATTAGCAAATCTGTAACTGTTATGTACATTTAGGGATATTTTACTACCCATCTCTAAATTCACGTGATATAACGGAACTTCGATTTTAGTTCAAGGACGACTTACCCAAGTCCAACTCGGGTAAGTTCTGTTTATAAATACGGACCTTAGGTTCAGCACGTCTTTTAGATTTTTAAATTGATACGACACTAATTGTAATTTGGATATAAGTTGTTAGCAGTGATTTTTCCAATTTAAATGCTTGTCAATTTGCAAGTGGTTTGAAGTTCCGACCGTTTTTTCACATAACGGTTTAAAAATAAAAGGAATGTTGCTTGACATAGTATCCAGTTTAATATGAAAGGATAAAAAGATTATTTACTGTCCAACTCTAAATTGGCAAGTTATTTATGCTGAATTAAAAAAATAATTATGTATGGAAAGGCAGTAGCCACTACCAAAATTTAAATAGTTTCAATTTCAGTTGAATGACTCACTCGGACCACACCCCACCTTGACCCCTGTAAAGCTCCAGCCAATCGGTCGGTCGTATTCGTTGTCTCTTGTCTTGTCTGTTTGAAAATGGCTGTAATATGTTAAACGTCAGTTGTTGACTGCTTCTTTCTTAATTATTTTTGCCAAATATTTCAAGTAGTTAGTTTAGGTGTAAAAAATTGAGATATAAATCAAAATGTCGAGTGAATCTGTGAAAAACGTAAGTGTTTAATTTAATTTTCATTAATTAAAGTTGGTTTTTATAAAATGCAGTATGTTTGTTTATATTTTTTGTTTATTTTGTTTCTGGTCTTAAATTCTTTTGTCTGGCTTTTCTGTATGTAAAATAATTCGTCAGTAATATAGATTTTATATTTTGTATTGTAGTTTTCGAGTCTTGAAACTCCGGGGTATGTTGGTTTTGCAAATTTGCCAAACCAAGTCCATCGAAAATCTGTGAAAAAGGGCTTTGAATTCACACTTATGGTAGTCGGCGAAAGTGGACTAGGAAAATCCACATTAGTTACCTCATTATTTTTGACTGATTTATATCCAGAAAGACTCATTCCAGATGCTATGGGTAAGTTTTTATATGAAATATAAATTGTATTACAATATCAATGCCTATTCTGAAAGTGTTACAAAGAATATGTGGAAACAAATCCGATATTCTTAGAACAAAAATATTGTTTCTTATCAACCTTTTTTTATAGAAAAAATGGAACAGACTGTTAGATTAGAACCTTCCACTGTGGAAATAGAAGAAAGGGGTGTCAAATTGAGACTTACTGTTGTGGACACTCCTGGATATGGAGATGCCATCGATAATAGGGATTCCTTTAATGAAATAATTGGTTACATTAACCAACAATTTGAGAGGTTTTTGAAAGATGAGTCCGGTCTAAATAGGAAGAATATCATGGACAACAGAGTGCACTGTTGTTTTTATTTTATCTCACCATTTGGCCATGGGTAAGTGTTTGCTTGATGATTATACTAATAAAGTATTTATTAAAAATTGATAAAATGGTATGTATTTTAACAAAACATGTTTTGTTTAACAGTTTCTATTACAAATATGTTTTAAGTTATTAAAAAAATTACCTACACTTTATGCAAATTATTTAAGTATTTTCATACAAAATACTATAGATAGATAATAACTATTAAAATAGATAAAACGATAATATAGTAACACGTCAGTCCAAATATGGACATTAATAAAAATAAAAAATAATATTTATCCTAAGTGTACTATATTAGATTTTATAAGTATGTTTTGTTTTATGACAGAAAAAAAATTCTTTTATTAAATAGATAATCCTAATATATTTATGTACAATTTATAAATGCTGTTGAACAGCTCTGAAGTACATTATATAATATTATTTACTATAGATATAACACAAAATAAATTATATAAAAAAGAAGATAAAATAAAAATTCACAGATAGAAATATAAAAATAAGATGGAATGATTGTTCTGATGTGTGTTTATCACATACTTTGTTCGATATGATGATATACAGATGTACTCTAGATCATTCTTATCTCCGTTTTTGTAAATGTACAAATGTGTATATAATTATTTAGTTTTTTTTTTTTTATTATTTATATCTTACTCTATATTTTATATTAGTATTTGTATGCCGAAGCTTTGATGAAATATAATTTATAATTTTATTGCCATTACTTTAAGCACATATAGGTGCTTGCCATAGATATATAACCAAGACAGATAGGATTATTTACAAAAATTTTGAAGAATGAATGGTGGTGTCCGCGGTAGAAACTCAATAATCGGATTGAACATTGATGCCAAGTTTACGTGCTTTTAACTATAGATATATATATATATATATATATATATATATATATATAACCAATATAGATTACACAATTTCTGAAGTCAACGCGGATGATCCTCGACAGAAATGCAATATTTGGATAAAATTAAAATATTGATGCCAAGTTTGCGATGTTTTTAACTGTAGTAATGTTATTGCGTTTGCTTGAATTACTGTTAGGTCTTTAAATTGTCCAAAAAAAAATAATGTCTGACAACAGCGGAAGTTGAGTAGACAGCAATTGTGGAGGGTGTATATTGTTTCATTCATAAAAATTCCTTCGATACAGTACTAGTCCAGGAGCCAGTGAATTTTTTCGTACTTGTTTTCCCGGTCCGTGTATATTTAAATAATCTATTCCCGGTGAACTGTATATTTAAAATGGAACGCCAATCTATTAACAAAAGTAAGCCAGATTGAATTCGCGCATTACGTCACATCGATACAAGTGAGAATGTTTACAAAGTGCCTCTGTAGGCCTATTTTGCCCATTTCATGTATTTGTTTTTAAATCATGTTAAATTACTATTTTTGAAACTCAACAAGGAGAAAATCCAATTAACTCTTCCGTTGTGTATATATATAAGATAAATTAACTGAAGTTTTATTAGTTAAGTAATAATACTAAAATTTTAATGTAATTTACAGAAAATAGCTAGGTATGTCTTTTTTTTTAAATAATTTGATAATTTATGAAAAAAGGGAGTAAAAGTGGAATGACCAGTGGCCAGTAGGTCAGTCAATACAAAGTATCATATATTTCTATTATAATATAACTAAAATACCTACATCTTTTAATCATAAGGACATAAGTTAAAAACCATTTTAATATATGCATTAGAATGAAGTAATAATAACTTAAAGAGACGAGGTCTTAAAGTAATAGCTGGTACAGCATGTTTTTTAAACGTTTCCTCATTGCTGCTAGAATGAAATCACTATGAAATGTGCTCTAAAAACGGCATTTATAGCAGTCAGTGTTCAGTCTTAGGATCTCTTCATAAAGCGCTCCTCATCCAAGCTGCATACATATTAAAAAATAATTAAAAAAAAAACATATTATATACCTATATAGTTTTCGGTTCTGGGTGCCCTAAAAGAGGACACTTAGCCGACAATTTGGCTCAGATAGCTAAAACCCAAAAGTCACACCCCGAACCAAGTAAAAAATAACTACAAATAACTTACCTGAAAAATGAAGGCGTCTAATTTTACACCAAAAAAACCATACACTTTTTCCCATTGTTGCAAGCACCCGATGACGATTAGGTAGATATCAACTAGAAGCATGTACTTAATGGTTATAAAGCTTATTTTAACACAAAAAGAATAAAGCACTAGTCGAAAAGCAGCAATCAAATATAAATAGACCACAATATTAAAATTCAAATTAAAAACTATATAAAAGACAAATACTCTAAAAGCGCAAAAGATCAGAACCAAATAAAATGAATAACCATAATAACCTAAAAATCACACTAAAATTGCAAAAACTATTACTGTAAAATCATGAGATTACATCAATAATGCATATGCGTCGGAGTATCGCAAATGTCAAAGTACAGTGTTTCCATGAAAATTTAGCTATGTTTTTAGCAGTATTATAGGACCATTTCTACCACGTGCATCGAACGATATTGGCGTTCCACAGTTCACTGTATTTTCCTCATACCTCTAGTATAAATGATTTGACATAACGAAACTAACAATAATTATAATTATTTTCTTCTGTAATATCTTCAATTATTATGTTTAATTTCTATAAATAAACCAACTGGTTAGGTGAAAGATTGTGATATAAGATTTTATTTATGTGTCCTATGCGTACACTTTAATATACAAAACACCTGGAACATTCTTTAAATAATTGTGGTCGTAGAAATAATTGTGTACATAACTCGTTTGAAAGTGTATTTTATGCACTTGCCAAATATATTATCCATACAGATTAATCAGACTATTTTTTTACTTAACTTCAGTACATCTCTTACTACTAAAACTATTTTTATCAATGGAAAAAAGGGCCGTGTTCTCGTATGTTTTGACGCATTTTCGGCCTCAGCCCATCGGATCCCCCCTCTAAATATATATGAATTTTGCTTAGAATTGCTTATCCTACAATTCTCTATTCGTGCTTGCTGACTGGGAAAATAAATACTGAAAATCGTCACTGTCTCCTGGACTATACAATAGATGATGATGAGAACTTCACAACAAATACACTTTTATGAATGGCTAGTTGGGGATGTGGTGCTTGCACCTAGATGCTTGACTTAATTTATAATTTTTCACAAAATTGTAAACATTCATTGTTATTAAATTAAATTAAAATAAATATTATTATTATATATTAATAATATATAATAATAATAATAATACTCTCACTAATTCACCCTCTTACAAGTGAATTTTAACCCCAAAAGCTGAGCTTGTGCGGGGAAAGGGACGGCTATTATTATTATTATTATTTGCCGTGGCGCTCCGGGGCGACTTAAAGATGATTGATGGTGCCATTTGACTTACAGGTGAGGAAAACCCAGAAAACCTCACCCACCATCATCGAGACGGTAATGTATGGCGATTTTTTATAATCTGCATGTCATATCAACAGAAATTGAATTTCTGTTAATACGGCACACATCAAATCATATACCGAACCATGCAATTTAATTAAAAATCCACATGGTCTGGTCTGGGATTCGAAGCCCAGCAGTCTCTGACACATAAACTTGCTTATAAATGAATATAAGCGGGTTAGACCGCTACACCACTGGCCCGATAAATAAATGAATATTATATGAATATAGTTGAGTAACATTTTTCTAAATCTTTTGATGCTATTTGTAGTTTTTATTTTATATATAAATGCAATTAAACTATTATGAAAAATTAAGTTCATAGTGGGACTGTAATTTGTTCCTTATATAAAAGTCAGTAACTCTTCTTGTGGTGATTATACTTAATAAACTTATCAAAGTAGTTATTTGGGGACATTTCCCAATAGAATTTTATATATAAATAACATAGTTTCCATATTTTTTTTAATTCAAAACATTTATTCACCTGCTTTAAAAATGTTTCTACATACATCATTATAAAACATAATAGGCGAGTTCGGATAGTCAGGGGCTGGAGCGGGACAAATTTTAGGGTGCTTTTAAATGACATTTAAGCGTGTTAAACTGTCACTAATCGGACTAAACCGAACGCTAAAAGGGTCGTTTGGAGTTAAAAGTGTTAAAGGAACTTGGCAGACCGAACGCAATGACTGTGTACACAGTACATTTTGCGACGGGTGTGAAGTTATCCACATCCACAAATATATACTGAGAAAAATACAGCTCCATTGAAAATCGCCGCAGTCCCATCAAAATTAGTGGCAATCGCTAAGAAATCTTCTCGGTCGTCCAGAATTCCCTTGCAATCTCCCTGAAATCTCCTGTCTGTAAAGAAATCAAGATTTTTTCGACTTCAAAGTTTTCTACGGATTTTTACGTTTTGGGGGGTTGTTATTCTATTCCATGGAATATGTTATTTTTTACGTTTGAAGAGCAAAATTCTTTAAATAAAAGTTGCTTATGTTGATCTATAATTTTATCTTATAGGTACGTAATTTTCTATTTAACAAATTTCGAATTTTTAAGAATACAAAATTTTAAACTTAAGCTTTAACAAATAATGCGACGAGCTGAGTAAATCTCGGGGGGGGGGGGGAGTGTTACTGTATAGGGTATCGTTTTTAACTTCAAGGAATTTCTGTTATTTACGATTGGAGAAAAAAATTCTTTAAATAAAAGTTCAATACATGTTATCTTTAAAATGGACCGCACTCGAAAATTTTTGCAAAAAAGGGTAAAATTTTAATTGTTCGGTATTTTCGTTGGCAATAAATACACGTAAAAAATATTTGAAGTAAGATGTGTGTGGAAAATCTTTAAACATTTACAGGGGTGATACAGTAAGGTTGTACTAAATAACCGGAAAAGCTTGTAACTAGACTAGACAGGAAAGTCATGTGTTGGAAATATCAGATTTTTATGTAAAAAAGTGGAAAGAATATTTTTTTTGCAAAAATAGTACCTACACAAAAATTATAGGGATAAAAAACACCCTTATTTATCCCTT